CATAGCTTCCGAAACTAAATCAGAGTCATTGTATGGTCCATATTAACCGCTCATATACATTCTATTGGATTGCCTGCGATATATCGTTGGGCGCTTATAAAAATGGCAACAAAAGAAAGGCAAGCGCGAAGACAACTTTTCCTAATGCAAATGTTATTCGGGCACGTGCTGTAGAGCTTCGTTATGCTCGCAAACCATAACGTGCAGTGTTTTTGTGAATAACAACTAAAACAGCACTGAGACATATACGCTGAACTTGCGAAATATTCCATGCAGAATAAAATGTCTAATGCACCTTGCGCCGTATACCTAAACTATACCAACCGGGGAAACATACAAATGTAATTCGGTTTGTGAAAAAAAAAATGCCACCAATGGTTTGAAACCAATGTTTCAGACTTCACTGAGAAGAATGCCACTTCGTGTCAGTGAAAATTATTGTGTAATATAAACTGCGATAAACTCACCTGATGTCATCCGCCATTGTTGGGTGGCAGTATGGCGCTAGGTTGTGTACTGTGCGATTTCAGTGTACATTAACGTCGTCGAAATTTCTGAATCTTTGCGCGACGGCGTCTCTCATACTCTTATCGTGGTCCTGGGGCGTCAAACCTCAGATTACGACCTCACCTGATGTGACATTCTGATTTGAAATTCATGGTGGGCTTTTGACGGGAACAACTTCTCGGCCGAACTCTCATCAAACTGTTACGAAGGCCCCGTGTGAGACATGCCACTGAAGCATGCTTCATGAAATTCATTACAGTTTATGGCAGTACCACAGATGTTTTATTTATTTGTGTGGTATTTCCCTTATTCTCCGTTTGGGTTCATATTTCACAGATACAGAAAACATGACGTACTTTTCTCTGCACATGCTCAGTAATACCTTAAGCTGCACCCTTGGTTGCTTCGGTTCTCCAAAATATGCGTATTTTTTACGACCCTACAGTGCACCATTCGCATTCTTGTTTGACTCACTTGACAAAGATCCGCTTCATTTTTTTTTTCAAAAGACAGCTGTGTATTTTTTTTAAGAACTATACTTGAACCACTGAGCAACATATTGCACTTGTATCACAAAGTGTTGCAAGAGTTTTTCAAGCCTACGTTCGCATTTTGAGTTTTACTCAGGCATGTATTGCTTTCTTCAGGCGCATTTCATCTGCTTTTTTTTCCATTCTCGCTACGGTGAGACCAAAAATCTTGTATACGAAGGACTATTTTATGCCTATCGCCCACCTTCAGAATATTAGAACTAACCTCTTAAGCGGCCCCGCCGCGGTGGTCTAGTGGCTAAGGTACTCGGCTGCTGACCCGCAGGCCGCGGGTTCAAATCCCGGCTGTGGCGGCTGCATTTCCGATGGAGGCGGAAATGTTGTAGGCCCGTGTGCTCAGATTTGGGTGCACGTTAAAGAACCCCAAGTGGTCTAAATTTCCGGAGCCCTCCACTACGGCGTCTCTCATAATCATATAGTGGTTTTGGGACGTTAAACCCCACATATCAATCAATCAACCTCTTAAGCGTGGCCGTCCATACTTTTTACACTTGCTGTAAAATACTGCTTTGAAAAGAATGTGTTCAACTTTGGCACACTTTTTGCTGGATTGATGGCGGCCTATAAGTGTTGCTTCAATATGATCAAGAGATTTTAAAGTGACAGACTGCATAAGAGACGAAAAATTCTCAAAAGGAAATGTTATGTTCCGGCGATTTTGCCTGTGCAAGGATTTCCTATCGCTTCAACCCTGCATTTTTATCACAACTTGCGGCTTGCCAGTTTGCAAATCGTCGAAGAGCGAATACGAAGTGCTGAGGCTGTTTTTGACTGGAAGCCAAACACGGGTGTACCACCAAGGCACAAACACACCGCAGAAATAGCGGACTCCGGAAACACGCCTTGTTCCGGACGTTTCTACGAGCTTCTGCATATTGCATGAGCTGTCCTACGGTTCGCTTTGGTGTTTCTTTCCGCAAGCATCACTTGCACGTTGAGGAACAGTGCATGCCTTCGTAAGTCTTTTTTTTTTCGAAAGTTAAATAGAGGGTCACACAGTCGGAGTATCCCTGGAGCACACCTCGGCCACAGAAGAGAGGCATTCCCGTATCGTGAGCCAAACCAGAAACGAAAAAAAAAATAGAAGCATTCACAAAAAAAGCGACCATCAACAGATGGTCTCACGACAGTCACTATAAATATAGTAGCCGTCTTTTGTGTATGTGTATGTGTTTTGTGTCGTGTCGTATCGTGTCGTATAACGTAGTGGATGTCATCTGCCACACCCTCGAACCTCACCTTTTTCCGCTGTTTGTGGCGAGTCGTCTTGTCTTCCTTAGCGAGTGTGCTTTCGATGTGTGTCGTGCTTCTGCTGTGTATGTGTGGGTTATGTCATTTGCAATGGCTGGTCCTTGCGAGAACGTACGGCAATCTTATTTTCGGAGTAAACGCCTACAAAACTGAGACCGGTCGTCTTGCTTTCGTCTGATTTGAGACGAAAACGTTCAAGCTTGCCTTCAGCCACTAAGTTTGCCCTTTGTAGACTACGTTTGCTAAAAGATGAAAGCCAGATCACATTACCTTTCCTAAGCTTACTGGGACTCTTTTCTGGTTCATCGGCTTGCATATGTCAAGCATTCATGAAGGTATGACAGATGAGGAATGAAGTTCTTCAACACAGTATTCAGCGGCAAAGAGTGTCGTCTCTTTGCTCCAATAAGCAGGAACTCTGTGGGAGGCACTTTAAACTTCACTAATGGGTCTGTATCCAGAGACTAGAATATCTGAAGAAGCTTAACGTTTTTTTTTATAGCGCGCCGGCGTAATGTCAAGTTTTCTGACGGTTTTCACATTCACTGATCAGTCACAGGTAGGCTGTCATTTAATCTGCTTGCATTTGTGAGCTGAGAAGAAGCCAATCTGTCCGGGTAGTTTTGTAGACGGCATGAGTTTCTGACCACCTAAAAAAAAAACAACCGAAATGTCATTCATACAAATATTCCGTGCATCATGGTTGTCCAAAACCATCACGTAAGACACTTCATTCCGACGTGAAAGTTCATGTCGAAGGACGGCAGATGTTCAAAGAAAATGCCTAAATTTGTGGCGTAACCCACTTAGCTGTTTCCAGCTTACTTATTGCCAGCATGTTTCTGCTAAACTGCTGTTGTTAGTTCATTTCGAAGAGCTCAGCTACCTGACAAGTGTTGTCATTTTTCGTTGCTGCTTAGAAGTCCCATCGTTGGCTTGAGGGTGACTTTGCTCAATAATTTTAACTAGAGCCTGGTTCTCACAAGGACAAGCTTGGAACACAGTTGTTTTTGATGTTTCGTTGTATGAGTCATTCAAACTGTCAACGTCCACCACCACATATTGGCTTACAGTTTAACCAAGTCTGAGTGCGGCGCTGCATATTGCTTGTTTCACAATTAGTCGAGTGGTGATGCGCTTATGAGGCAGGCTGAACGACTTATAAAAGTTCAGACAAGATATGGCGCTTGAAGGTACAAGTTATAAGTGAACATGCACTGAGGCATATAGATTCAGAAAAAATCTCCCATACGTCTGACATGTGACCATATAAGTCAGACGTATAGATTCACTTCAGAGTAGCATTATTAACATGATACTTTCATACCCATGATTCCTAAATATCATTATTAGCGACGTCAACATTTTCATGCCAATGCCTTCAAGGTAATCAAAAATGGCTGCCTATTCCCGACGTACCTTAGTTTCTCATGAGCCAGCTAACTGTCATTACCGCTGTTGAATTCTAGTAGAAAACGCACTCCCGGTGTCGCGTTCACATCTTCACAAATAAGATCGTAATCTTCGGTAACCAACTGCGAGAATTCATTAGTCTGAGTGAAAAGAGAAAAACTGGTCTTCAGTTGTAGCTGGCTGGCAAGAAAGCTTAGGTGGCCTACTAGTTTATCCTTTCAGTTCATGCACGTATGGTACGTGTCTAGCATAGAAGCGTAACGAAGTTCACACTGTAAGCGAAATATTTATTCAGTATCACGCGTGCATGTCTATGGTCAACATAAGTTCTATGTTTTGGACAGCTTTCTCACTTTAGGTTGCGATCTTGACTTTTGTACGACGCATAGGGAATCGTTCGTACAATGTATACATCCAGTACAAATAACTGATAGTGCTGCGAAGGTGCCGTATGCAACTTAGTTTTTAAAAACCAATTTATACCCTTTGAAAAGTCCGCAATTTTTGTTGTTTCTTTTTTAATGCAATGAGACCATTTTGTGTGTTATTCTTACTAGATTTTTACGGCACGTCCTCAACGTCTTCTCGTGCTTCGAAAACGTAACATAAAACTTTCAAACTCATCCATAAAACATTGTTTTTAGCGTTTGTCATCATTTATAAGTCACTAAGCCTATAAAGTCTCTATTCGTCCAATTGCGCATGTAAACTTAAGCACAAACTGCAGAATCACAGTTAATAAATACAAGGCGCAGTTGTTTTTTTTTTTCGAATTCTTTTGAGCATTAGTTCACGAATTTTGATGCGAAGAGCAACGGGAAAACGGAGCAGGGTATATTCATGCAAATGTTGCAATGCAAAGTACGGTGTCAAAGTGAAGATCAGAGTGCAAATGCGACAAGACACGCTTTCACAGCTTATCAGTATTAAAGCGTGTGTACACATAACGCGTTCTGTTTCTGCGAAAACCCGTTAGGCGACGAAATATTGTACTTTCTACCTCGCAGTGGTGCCATCGGTGTGCGTCTTGCCAAATACCGTTTGCACAGCTTCTCCTAAGCCTCTATGCGAGTCTGACCAAACAATAATATTCAGTGTGTACATTTTTGGCAAACGACTCAGTGATCGTCGTTTTCTGTTGTAAGGAAGCTTATCGAAGCGGCACATATAGATGCTTTTCTTATTTGTACTGCTACTGACTAAATCATTCTCTTTTTTCCCACTTTCCCCCATGTTTTATGTTATTTTACATAAAAAACATCATCGCTGCCGAAACAGGAAAACAAGTTGGGTGACATCTGTTTCTCACTCCGTTACGTTCCCACGGCCGGCAAGCTGACTGTTGTTATCCTGGAAGCCAAGAACCTTAAGAAGATGGATGTTGGAGGACTCTCTGGTATGTCGCACTGTTTAGTCACAGGGTTCATCTACCTTTATACAAGTAGTAATATGGTCCTTAACCACAGGGTCAGCCAGTATTTTTGGGTCCAAAGAAATATTTGCAGAAAATCTCCATAAGGGATGTGCAAGGTGTATATCGATGTGTGCGAGGTGTATATGGTAATGGGGCAAAGACTAATGGGGCTTTGCGAGGTCTATATTGGGGTGTGTGAGGTGTATATCTTGGTGTGCTAGGTGTATATCGGTGCGGTCGAGGTGTATATGGAGCTGTGCAAGGTCTATATCGGTGTGTGCGATATGTATGTCTGGGTGTGCTAGGTGTATATTGGTGCGTGCGAGGCTTATGTCGGGGTGTGCGAGGTGTATATCTGGGTGTGCCAGCGTATATCGGTGCGTGCGAGTTGTATATGGGACTGTGCGAGGCCTATATTTGCGTGTGCGAGGTGTATATCTGAGTGTGATAGGCGTATATCGGTGCGTGCGAGGTGTATGTGGGGCTGTGCAAGGCCTATATCGGCGTGTGCTAGGTGTATGTCTGGGTGTGCTAGGCGTATATCGGTGCGTGCGAAGTGTATATGGGGCTGTGCGAGGCTTATGTCAGGGGGTGCGAGGTGTATACCTGGGTGTGCTAAGCGTATAATGGTGCGTGCGAGGTGTATATGGGGTTGTGCGAGGCCTATATCGGGGTGTGCGAGGTGTACATTTGGGTGTGCTAGGCGTATGTCGGTACGTGCGAGGTACGTATGGGATGGTGTGGCGTATTGTGGGGGTCTTTCAAAGAGGGTGTACGAGGCGTATATTGTACAAGGCTCTGGCGTGATCGTACGCATTTTCAATTTTAACGCATTGTGATATGCTTGGAATGGGAGTTCACACTATCCACCAGCTATCCAATAGTCGCACCAGTTGTTAGCGAGCCTAAGCCGTGTCGTATTATCAACTATGATATCAACGGCTTTTCAGTTCACGTTGGGCAGTCAGGTGTGCATCCAGTGCATGTGAACTGCGCTAAGAATTTTGGGGAGCCAGGGGTTAACACATCTGCACAAAAAAATGCAAGTGAGTCACTTAACTGACGATTCTCCTTACACCTTTCTTTTAAGTAACGCTTTTGTAGTGCATTAGATAACGTCCTGTTTCTTTCTAACTTCAAGAAAACTCCGCCGGTTCAAAAACAAGACGGCTGGATGATTTATCAAGTAAACGAGATTGCATTTGTGTTTTACTGTCCATAATCATGCAAACTTCGCAGCACAGCTGTATATAACATATACAGCTGTGCGTATGTATAACGTCCTAATTGTGGCTTATCGATGTATATAACATCAATAAGCCACAATTACGACGTTAATTACCAAAAACGTAGATTCGTACTTCTGAGTTTCTGCTCATTTAACTAGGCTTCTCTCTATCACGAGCCGGGCTACGTTGTAATAAACTCTCCTCAGAATATGCTAATTGTACCTAACGTGTTCTTAAAGTGGAAGGTATGTTCTAATTAGGGCGCTTTCACGACAACAGTGACCACGTTTAAAAGACTCAGTAATTAGTGTCTATCGCCTACGAACCATAGCTGAAAGATTGGTGTTCTTTTTTTTTACAACATGTACTATGATGCTCCGTGTTTCAGACCCGTACGTGAAAATCGCACTGATGATGAATGGCAAGAGGCTGAAGAAGAAGAAGACCAGCATCAAGAAGTGCACCCTGAATCCTTACTACAATGAGTCCTTCACTTTCGAAGTCCCGTTCGAACAAATACAGGCAAGTCAGCGAACCCCTTAGCGTGACCATGTAACATTGGTCTAGATGTTCAAATAGAATACGTTCAAGCAAGACGGTGTGCTCCCTGCAGGAAAGTAAAAGTAGAGGGGCTGTTTTATCCTAGACAATTTGAGATATACTCACCAAAGATAAGTAGTTTTTTCTACCTGCCCCATTTACGAGAAGCCTTCATATTAGTTACGAGACCTTCAAACTGTGTCCTCTGAGTTTCAGGTTCGCTGCATAACCTTTACGAACATTTCTAGTTCTCCTGTTTTACATTTTACGTGAGTATAGTTTCATTTGTGATGAGTGCAAATACAGCACATGGCAAAGAAATTCACCGCAGGCCACGACGGGCACCGCAGCGTTAGCAAGTCCGATTTATTTGCGAATACTCTTCTAGCATGCATACCTGGATCATGGCAGGCCATAAGCCTTCGTGCTACGGCGTGCTGCTTTTCAAACATAACGCTAAACTGTGCTAGACAACGAATAATGTCCCGCATGGTGTCTTGTCTGTTGTGCCCGATGAAAACGGGCCCTGTTCTCGAAGTGTCGTCTCCAGCGACAGTTCTCAGTTCGGCGATTTCTCGACAACTTCGCCGCTCCTCTGTTCTTATCGAGCGCAGAAGGTGCAGTTGGTTGTCACGGTGGTCGACTACGACCGCATCGGGACGTCGGAACCCATCGGGAAGGTTGTGCTGGGCTGTAACGCCACGGGCACCGAGCTGCGTCACTGGATGGACATGCTGGCATCGCCGCGTCGACCCATCGCACAGTGGCACTCGCTCAAGGAGCCCACGGACGGACAGGACAACTGAGCCAACGCAGGTGCGACTGACGATACCTCGTATTCACATGGCGACGACGATCAATGTGACCGTCAATGTGACCACACTGTGGTCGATTACTACCTAATAGCAAAGATAAACGGCACACAGAGCCATTTATGTCCTACCCGCAGACCCCAGAAGGGCAGATGCAGCAGAGGTGTGTCGGTGGAGCTTATATTTATGGTTAGGGTACAGTCGATTAGAGAGATTGTTCTTCCGATGAAGAGATATGTAGCATATTCAGGATTCAGGAGTGAACTATGGTGAGGGAAAGTGTTCGATATGGTGCGAAAGAATGGAAGGCTGACAACTGTGCAGGTTTCATCCCGCATTTTACTCCCCTTTTTAAGTGTTCTCTCGAAGCGCTGAATGGAAGCGTTCGAACTTTTCGGTCAAGCAAGCTTACTCCGTAAGAAAACGAAGCGATGGCATCGAGCATAGAATAACAGAGTTGAGCGACTTGGTAGGCGTTCTAGAATACAGGGCGTGCAAACATGGGCCTAGGAAAGAGGTGGAGACTCTAGGAAGACAGGCATTCGTGGGGTCTCCACCTCTTTCTTTTGGCCGTGTTTACAAGCTCTATCTTACACAATGAAGTCATCAAGCACATAAACTAATACATTCGCAATGAAACTAAGAATGACTCAAGAAAAGTAATCGCGAAACCAGAAGTGAATGCGACGAACAATGAATCAATGTGACTTCTTTATTTTTCGGCGATTGCTTAACCTACAAAATTGATTGACGTGGTGATTTCTTTTTTCTTTCGTATCTGTTCTTTTTGCAGGCCTCAGAGGTGCAAAGGCGACATATTTAAAGGCCACCCTTTTCCCTGCACTTTACGGGGCGACTCCCAGCGTCGTCGGACCGAGGCGTTCGAGAGTCGTTTGCTGTTTAATTGCACCGTTGTTGATTGGTTCTCCCCTGCCCCGTGTACCGTTATTCCTCGCATATTCCTACCTACTTGTTTACGTGTGTGTTCCTGTGTTTTTCGAAAGGCAGGCGGGAGACGGTGTACATATAAAAAAAAATGTTAACGCGGTCATGAGCAGTGAACGACCGCATCTGCTTCTGTTACTTTGTTAAGCTGAATGTCCGGCCCCCTGTGTGATGGGCTTAACAGTCAAAAGGCTACGTGTATGGTTTTATCGCTGTGGAAAACTGTGTTCGTCCTGCTAATCACAAGAAAGGGATGTTCTCTGGAAAGATTTTTAAAGGGAAACTAAACATCAACGTTACGCTAATTTCTATATTGTTGGCGCGTAAATAATGGCATTGACTAGCCAGTGCGTCTCTCGATTTAAGCTCTAGGCCGTCGCATTACTTGATTTCATAAAAATTCTACGAATCAGAAAAAGAGTTATTGATGTTACAAAATCAAAGTTTTTGGCGTCTCCTGAGCTTATGTGGTTTTATGTATGCAGTAAATGCAGCTGAAAGCATTTTCGTGAGACTCGAAGCGAGTTCACTTGCAGTGTATGCAAAGTTGTACCACGTGGTAATGTGCTGTGTTTCATGACGCATAAGTGAAAGCTCGGTTGACGAGGGTATGTTTTTTTATTGGTTCATTGAATTTTATCAATTGAAGATTACGTGCTACCCAGTGCACGCAAATTATGAAGCTACAATGCCTCACACTGTGTTCCCTTGTGTTTACGCCTCGTTTATACGAGTACCTATCTCGGCTCTCAGTATGTCCTCCTAGTGACTTTCTTCGACTTCAGACACGCGCTCTATGAGAAGTACTGCGTCGAGGGCTCAATACGTTATTCTCCTTAAGTCGACCGAGTTGAATACCGTTTCTGCTTTCTCGTCAGTTGTAGTTCGTAATTTTCTATGCATCCAACGAGCTTTAAAGCACGCCGTTTCAAGCCTCAATTGGAAGAGTGGGTACACACTGCTTCCAGCTGTCCGCGCCCTTGATAGCAGCGCAGCTGTGGTGTAAGAGATTATCTGTATGGCGTGAGGGAACGTGTATTGTGTACTTTTACGTGAAAGGTGATGCTTCGTTCAAAGTCCTGAGTTCTTTCGTTAATTGTGTTTATTTAACCGGCTAATTTCGCCATTTTCTTTCTGCGCCGTTACTGAACAAAAAGGTACCTTTATGGTGGGGTTTCAAGTCGTGAGGAATTCTTTAACACTTCTGTTGTGTGCACAATGAAAATTCTTCGTCAGGCGCAGCACTCGGTTAACCGTAAGATTCTCTATAGCAGCCTATAATGTGAAGGGTGGCGTTTATTTTACTAGCATGAACTTTAAGACGATGACACTGCAAAAACCTGCTCAACATATCTCCACAATTGGCATGGTGCTTCATATGTGTTCGTAAAGGTTCATTCCCTTTACGGCTGAACCTTAACATGTTTCAGCTGTGTATAAAAAAATATGATGTCGAAAATGTAAAACGTCATTCTTGAATGTCTCCGCCGCTGCCGTTTCACATTTTTTTCGCCCCTCATTCTCTTGCTCACGTGTGTTATTTATCTTCATATATTTGTATTTTTTTTTTCGAATGCTCTGCACTACGTTCTTGCAAACGCGGCTCATAGGAGCTGCACTAGATCTAAGCATGTATCAATTTTTGTATATCGCAGTTGACGACGCGCATTGTCTGTGGTAGTTGAGTATCGTAGGTAGACGTACGCGATTCTTAAGAAAAAAGAGACAAAACAGAGTGTATCGTAGATCAAGTGCTGTGGTGTAGCGTGTGCGATAGGACTCGAAGTGTGTGGAGTATACTTGAATTTTGGAATGTCTAATTTTATTTCCTTTTTTCTTTCTGTGGATGCCGCACTTGACGTAATTTATTCGCACGTGCACCGTATCTTCTTGAAGAAGCAGTGAAAAAAAAAAACCGTGAATGATTCTTCCGTGCGTGCCATGTGTCCAGAATACCTACTCCGCATCTTCGTATCGGAGGAGCTTGACTCGTCTTGTTTTCTTTTTCTACTTGAGGTCACTATCCTACGGTAGCTACAACGTAGTCAGTTCTCTGGGTTGAATGCATCGTCTTTATATTATAGTGGTGTGCGAGACTTTGTGGTTTTCTTTTTTTACTTTCTTCTTTGTGTGACAGAAATGTCTAACTCACAGCGCAGGAAGCCTTAAGGAGGCATTGTGTGTTTGTTTTGTGCATTCTGTCTTTCTCATCCCTGCTGTAATAATGAGGAAGTGCGTATTGGTTTGCGCCGCTGGATTGATGCTGACTGGTTTTTCAAGCATTGTATTTCAGAGTTTGTTGTTTTTTTATTGTAAAAGCAGTCATTCGTTTTGTTTACAGCAACGAAACTTTTATGTGCGTAGCACTGGCTCGTTTGAATTTTTCCTCGACAAATTTTCTCCTCGTAGTATTTTTGTCGAACTTCTTTGCGGAACTTTAGTCATTTACGGGAGTTTTACGGAAAACGTCCCGAGAACGTTTCCACAACGGAAGCAACTAAGCTACTTTTAGCGGTTTGTTTCCGAAGACATCAATGAAAAATAGCTCGCTTCTTTACAGGTTCAGTGTTATTTTGAAATGTTTAGTTTGACATATCCTCCGTTAAAATGCAATCCCCCTCTTATTGTGTGACATGATGTTACACTGAACGTGCGACTGCCGCTATCTCATTCGTTTAAGCAAGTCTTCAGTTCGGAGCAGTCAGTGATTTTCCTTTTCGTTCTGAAACAATTGAGCTTGCGTACGGTCGTCGCAAAAGGTTCAGACACCGACAGCTTGCTTCCTTGGCGAATGGGCGTATTGTTTTGATTTGCACCCTTACGACACCCTTTTCGTGCAAACGGCGTACTTCCGTGCCCTGAGATTCAGCTTATAACACTTGCATTCCTCCCGAAGCCGTGGTGTACGCAGCAGTAGCGCGGTGCAGCATTTCAAACTTTCCAACGCGTGTGCCTATTTTAGCGTTAGCTGGAAAGAGGTTGTTGAAGAAGTAACTTTATTTCCGTGCCCTTTGACCTTATAGCTGTGACAGCGCAGGAGTCTCTCTCTCTCTCACTTACTGTATGAGAGAGGCTCTGGAGAGGAGCATTGAAAGCTTATAATCTACGTCACCCGATGTTTCCCCGTTTCCCTGTCCGGCGAGTGACCCCTTTTTTCTCGGCTACCCCGCGCGTTTGCTGTTGCGACGACACTGACCAGTGTCGCCTTCTGGCCTCCATACTAACTATGAGAAACGAACATTCCAGCTTCATACTGATCTCACTTAGCCGGAACCGCCTCATAACGCACGAATGCCGAGTAAGAAATGCTCACTGCACGGCTCTGGGCATCCCAGTCACTTCACCTTGAAAGTAAGTGCTAAATTGTCTATAGACTACAGTTTTAATGCTGAGGAACTGCCGTCTTTCTTCTTTCAAATAGGTTGAAAATTTATTTGGTAAGTTCTCGATGATTGGTTCTTATATATATATATATATATATATATATATATATATATATATATATATATATATATATATATATATATATATATATATATATATATATATATATATATATATATATATATATATATATATATATATATATATATATATATATATATATATATATATATATATATATATATATAGGCAGGCATGGTGGTTGAGTGGCCGTAGTGTTGCATCCTCCGTGAGCGGTCACAACGTGGTTTATTTCGACGTTTCGGCCTGGAGTCTGGCCCTTCATCAGGATTGTTGATGAAGGCCAGACTCGAGGTCAAAACGTCGAAATAAACCACGTTGTGACCGCTCACGGAGGATCTACTAGACTATATATATATATATATATATATATATATATATATATATATATATATATATATATATATTGCTGTTTCTGGTTTGTGTGTGCATCCAGGTTACGCAGATTGATGTAGATACTCGTTTGATATGAACTGATTGATTTAGTCTCCGTGGGCTTTCTTTTTCATTTTGTTATTTTAACCACAAGTCTTCAATAACTCCAATTTGTTGCGTTATCATTATTCTTTGAAGTAGGAATAATCTCACTAGATGTTACCACCCATTAACGACCAGGAACCACTCACTACTTATTAACTTATTTGCTTACATAACCTTAGCGACGTGTCTAATTACTAATGATAGGTAGCCCTCACAAAACTCTCAATTCGGTAGTATGACGGCCGTTCCGTGAATCTTAGATTCGGGTCAATGGAAAAGAAATAAAAATTTTTTCTCAATTTTACAAAAAAAGTGGGGCCAAAATGAATTGCTTACCATGCCTCTTCAAGGAGTTGCGAACTGCTGCTCGCAATTCGGACTTCCGTGACCACTTTGCTACGCCGCAGCTCTTCACGCACACAGATTAGAAACAAAATTGGCTAGTTTGACTTGGCTTGTAAAGACTTCCCACCAGACGGCTTTGAGCATTTCTACTCGGGCATTCTTTCTTGTGGCTTCTGGACAGCTGTAGAATCCTAGCGTCTCCTAGTGCGTTGCTGTTATTGAACCTCTCATATCACTTCACAGAAATGCATTCTAACGATGTTAACACGTCTGTTGGTGTACATGTTTACTGGTTTGTTGACACTCGCGCCCACGGTGGGACAGCACCGCGTTTTTTGCCTTCGCATGCACAAAGAACTGTGTTGCTGATCTCTGAAGCAATGTGTGACAATGGCGCCTCCTGGGATGATCTTTATTGTGCATATAGCCTGCCCCTTTTTACGCTAACACTTACACACAGACGACCTCGAATTTTCTATTGCACGTTAACGAAGCGTAGAATATTTTCGCAGCAACTCGTCGTCAACACTACTAAGCCGTTTTATGGTTCGCTATGCCTCTAATGTACCCAAAATCAAAATTCGATAGCTTGTCACTGGTACTAGTGTTCCTTTAGGTGGTAATTTTCTAGCATATACATTACGCCAGTGTATTTTTTTATTTTCACTAATTGTACGTCTAGGCCATTCCTTTATACTGAGAATTCACATAAGGAATGGTACGATAATTCCTTTCATTTGGAACGCTGAGTTTAGTCTGAGCATTTTATTCACCTTATAATTTCGTAAGGACAACCCAGAACCATAAAGGTAGTTTTTCACGTGGACATGTTTAAATAAGCAACGATTTTCAGCACAGTTGATGACATTTTTCTTCTTTAAACTCTTGGGTTATTGCGAGTTTCACCGTAGTAATTTAGCTGTCTCAGTTGAATGTGAACGTAAACATGGAGCCCTTTCACGCTTCAAGCGGTATATCACATAACACAACGCTGGTGCACGTTTGATATCTCAAGGTGTTTAGGAAAGAGCAACACGATACGCCTTGTGGGCAAACTTAAAAAAAGCTGGAAAATTGTGTAACATTGGTAAGTGCGCACCTTTGCTCGGGTGTCATAGTTTTGAGCAAAGCTAACGCCTTTAGGATTTACTCAATAATCCGCAGTATTGTTAGTGCAGACAGTCACTTCTAAACTATGAAACAGCCAGCGAAATCCTATCTTGATTTTAATCAACCCAACATGGAAATGCGAATGCCTGAAACTGAAGCCAAAGGGCGAGCTCGCCCTGTTGGGAGAAAGCAAGATTGACCCTGGATATAGATTCATTCTATGTTTGTAAACGGGAGTAGGTGCTGTCGACATACTGGGGCGCTTGTAGTGCCGTCGCGGCACGCAGGCTCCCCCCAGCCCAAAGCTCGCCACCGCTCTCTACGATCACGTGACAACTGGCACAGCTGCTGCATAGCTGTCTCCGAGTCACGGCGGAGGCTCCTCGTCGAGACGTTGTGCTCGGAGGCAGCCTGCTGTACCAGTACTCACGTGATCGTAGAGGGCGGTAGTGAGCTTTGGGCTGGGCGGAGCCTGTGCGCCGAGTCGTCGCTACAAGCGCCTCACTATGTCGACGGCGCCCACCACTGTTTACAAACGTGGAAGAGGCCTATAAGCTTCATCCCAATGTAGCCTGTAAATTACGCCTGCCAGCTTTCTTCGTCCGGTGCAGCAGTTGCGAAAAAAGCAGCGATGTGTGTGCCTCTCGTCATAAATGCCTTCATGGCAGCAAGTGCATTTTCATTTTTTGCGCAGACATTTACGCATGTAAATGTTTGCGCAAAAAATCATTTACGCATGTTCGACATTAGCGACAGGAAAAAGTGCAAGTGCACTCTCTTACTGAAACTATAAAGCGTTCTGCGTCATCACTGACTTTTGTACTCTCTCGAGTGCGGGGAGTCCCAAAAACTTCTATAGTAGTTGCCGCACAATTGTGACCCTCTTCCGATGTCCTAAAGCCCACGGATGGTGTGAGAAACATGCTGCTTTGAGGCAAACAGGAAATTCGTGGTACTCGAACAGTGAAAACTGCGTTTTGCGACAAGGAGAGTGCTCCGAAGGGCTCCTTGATTTAACACAAACACTTCTCCTTCACTAGGGGGTTGTCATCATATTTTGTCTCCAGGGAGTGCAATAGAGGT